ATCAACACTATTCACCGGTAGTGAATTTGCAACTTGCGAATAGCGCTAGAATGATAACAGTAAACCCGTGAAACAACAATTGACTATTACAGTGTGATAGTCAAGGATAGACGCAATAGAAAGTAAAGACAATTAAGAGCGTACTAAGGTGTATTAGTTTAATAACTAGAGTGCACGTCACATAAGCATGAAACAATTCTTAATATGTATTGCTAAATAAGATTTAGTTATCAACTAACTAAGAATTCAACAAAGCATAAACACAATGCCAATTATTTGAATTCCTTTGTAGCAATTGTTCTCAATTCTTATTTAGTTGATAACTAAATCTTATTTAGCACTACATAGTTAAGAATTGTTTCATGCTTATGTGACTTGCACTCTATTGCACGGATTTTTGGATTTTAACGCAATGATGATTTCAGTTGATACGTACGTCGCTATCAAGATATCACGGGCGTCAGTAGAGGATTACGTGTTGGTGAAGAAGAAACTCCCGGGAATGAGAGCAATGACAATATGTCTGCGGGTGAAGACTGCAGACAAAAGAGATGACAGTACTATTTTTAGTTATTCCATGCCTGACAGTGACAATGAGCTGGTACTAAGTCGTCCTAAGAGCCTTCGGGTTGTCTTAGCAAGACATACAACATGGTAAGTACAGAACAGACTTTCTCTTTTCCYTTTCCTTTGAAAATCCAAAGCGCTATTCACTCTGATTGTCTTGGAGTATACAGGAGATCGAACTTACTGAAATCATTGTATCATTAWTGTTATAAAGATGTCTTCTTTCGCTAGGCATTCGTCAATCGTTCGGCCATTTGAAATGAGGCCAAGACACCTCACTTAAACACTGTCTTTTTTCAKTACTATTTCCCCACCATTCTTCACACAAATCAGAAAAAGTTCAATTATGAACGTCAATCGAACCAAGGACTGTTACTAAATCGCTGCTCTATAGACTATGCAAAAARTAAGGCTATCAATAAAGGGCTACCAGCATCCCTTTAGAGCTTTTGCTCTAGCCTCCGTATGCAGACGTTCCAAGCGGTTCGATTYTCTCCCGCGGGAGAGACAGCTTGCAACGTTTGCTACGGAGGCCACTTTTGCTCATGTCTGAAAAAAAATAACTAAGCAAAAACTTACTCTTTATTTTCCCTTTATGTTCTATTAATGGTGATTTGTAAGATTCGACCTTTAAACCGATGGATGGAAACGGACTGCGAATGGAAATTTGAAGTCACCTCAATTTCCATAAGTTCATGTCTGAAAAAAAAATAACTAAGTAAAAACTTACTCTTTATTATCCCTTGATGTTCTATTAATGGTGATTAGTAAGATTCGACCTTTAAACCGATGGATGGAAACGGATTGCGAATGGATATTTGAAGTCACCTCAATTTCCATAAGTGAAAAATCTAAAACACGACCGCATTGAATGCTTGTGGACCATGTCCCTTTAAAGAAAAAGAAATTGTAGAATTTAATCTATGAGTTCGGTACTTTRAGCACGGATTTTCGTTGTTTTTTTAGGAGTACTTCAGTCGATATAGCRGACAACCTGTGGCACCACGTTTGCCTGAGCTATAGTCATTATAATGGCAAAGTACGCATATTTSTAGATGGGACATTAAAGAAAGATAAAACAGTTTCCTCAATACCGGTTCGTGGAAATGGAAAGCTGATCATTGGACAAGAGCAAGATAGTTTTGGTGGAGGATTTGATAAGAACCAAAATTTTATTGGTGAACTTACAGGACTGTATATATGGGACTGGGTCCTTGGCAGTTATACCATAAAAAAAATGAAGGAAAAATGCAGTAAAGCCGAGAGGGGCGCAAAAATTACATGGAGTGACGTCATTTCCGGTAGTATTCACGGCGAGGTTACTTTGATTTCCAAKTCTTGCAGAGATACAGAAAGTAAGTAAAGYACTGCGAATGATGTGAGAATTTCTTTATTATTACGATTTTCAATTTGTTAGATAATTTAACTAAGTGACTAAGTCATAGTTGAAAATTGCTTTAACACTTCTCTTACTATTGAAATCAGTGCTAACTGAAGAGTTACGCATAAATGGCTATTCACAGATGTTAACGATTGTGCTTTGAACGGCGTTGTCAAAATGACGAACCGTTGTTAAAATGGCTGTAAATTTAAAGATGGATTTGATGGAAAAAACTGTGAAAACAGTAAACCTTACCTTGTTCTAGCTCTTCACTGTTTATATCAATGCTTTAAAAAAGTAACGGTACATGCTATAAATTCACAGAAATTGACGCATGCTCAAAACAACCTTGTAAAAATGGTGGTGTTTGTAAAGCTGATAGAGCTGGCTCTTACTACTGTCAATGCAAAGTTGGTTACAAAGAGAAAAACTGTGAAAAACTCAAGTGACCTCTTTTTGCTGCATGTGTCTAATTTTTCACAAAAGTTGGTCTATTTGTCGTGATTAAAATTTTTGAATCCGAGCTTAGAAGCATAAGAAAAAAACTAGCCGATTTTTAGTATGGAACTTCTAGTAGACATGCTAGAGCTAAAGACTTGCAACAGTAAATGACRTGKCGAAAAACGTCAAAAAAGTACTTCCGATTCAATAAATATCTTCAAACTTTACCAGATTGTCGAAAAATGTGTTTGTAGTAAAAAATTGCATATGATAACTTAATGTTTCATAGCTACTATCATGCACTTTGAGGGATATTGCAGCCGCTCGAATCAATTCCATGAACTTGAACAATATTTTTGTGACGTCAAACSTCAATAATTAAAGAATCACAACCTACCGCTGTACCTTGCGAGCCGATGCGCCATTTTAGGTTGACATGAAAATGGCGGACTCCTAGGATTGCTTAAAGTGAGCACGAACCGTCTCCATCCTTTCAATTCAGCTTGGACAGAAATATCTTTAACTAAGTACGTCTCACAGGTACTATCAAGCTATATTGTATGCTTGACGCATTTAAACGTATGTAAACAATAACACGAGCGCGCACTGTATTGTGGTTGGTTGGGATTCTTTAAAAAGCGGACTGTAGGGACCTTTCTTCATTTTAATTGCATCTTTAAACCTATGTTGAAAATTTCAGTTGATACCGACGTTGCTATCAAAATAAAGCGGGCGTCAGTAAAAGATTACGTTGAAGTCCAAAGAAAGCTCCCCGAATTGAGTGCATTAACAATGTGTTTGTGGGTAAAAACAAAGGACGACCGAGATGCCAGTACTATAGTTAGCTATTCAGTTCCTGGAAATGGTAATGANCACAGGATTTCTTAAAGTTAGCGCGAATCGTCTTCCATACTTTCAGTTTGGACAGAAATACCTTTAACTAAGTACCTCACAGGTACTATCAATCTATAATCTATTGTATGCTTGACGCATTTAAACGTATGTAGACAATAACATGAGCGCGCACTGCATTGCGGTTGATTGGGATTCTTTAACTAAGTACCTCACAGGTACTATCAATCTATAATCTATTGTATGCTTGACGCATTTAAACGTATGTAGACAATAACACGAGCGCGCGCTGTATTGTTGTTGGTTAAGATTTTTTTTAAATCTTAGATATCTATATATTAACAAACTTGTATGATAATGTCCTCCAGATATAGACGAGTGTGCTTCGAACCCATGTCAAAATGAGGGCAATTGCCATGATAGAGACGGCTTTTATGAATGCGAATGCAAAAAAGGATTCAATGGAACGAACTGTGAAAAAAGTAAGTAAAACTTAAATCTCTCTAGCTTTAGTCTGGTGATTTCAACACAAACTTAATTCCCTATGAATTTCTTGCAGATGTAGACGAATGCGTTTCAAATCCTTGTAAAAATGGCGGTGTTTGCAAAGATGTAATCGGCTCTTACACCTGTCAATGTAAAGATGAATTCGTTGGGAAGAATTGTGAAAGTAATTAAGAATTTTAATCTCTTTTCCTCTTTCTGCTTGTCTTATTCCAATATCGAGCCCAGGGTCTTCACGGCCAAATATGAGCGGTCTCTTACGCTTGTGAAGACCGCTGACTTTCAAAAGTGCGGTCTCTGGCTACGAGATGGGTATCCTTCTATTGTTCTTGATTATAACAAAATGATGATTTCAGTTGATACAGACGTCGCTATCAAGATATCGCGGGCGTCAGTAGAGGATTACGTGTTGGTGAAGAAGACGTTCCCGAAAATTTCCGAATTAACAGTGTGTGTGTGGGTGAAGACTGCAGACAAAAGAGACGCCAGTACTATTTTTAGTTATTCCGTGCCTGACAATGATAATGAACTGACGCTGAATCGCCCTAAGAACCTTCGGGTTTTYATGGATCGAAAGAGTTGGTAAGTACAAAACAGACTTTCCCTTTCCTGGCATTATTCGCTCTTTGCCAATTGTCTTGGAGTATACAGGAGATCGAACTAACTGAAATCAGTGTATCATTACTAGCTGTATATAAAGCTGTATATAAAGATGTCCTCGTTCGCTAGGCTCAATGAGCCCAAGAGACCTCACTAAACCACCGTCCTTTTCCAGCGCTATTTCTCCCCCTTTTTCACCCAAATCAGAAAAAGGTGTCAAAAAACGTCAGTCGAACCAAGGACTGTTACCAAATCGCTGCTCTATAGACTATACAAAAATAATAATATCAAGCCCATTTTTTACTGAGGAAGAAATAATTGCAGAATAATCCAGTTTCGAATTCTCCAATGCTCTGTGTTAGCCTCATTTGTCCACAAAATATTCCTAATTGTGAGTATMAAAGTGTGAGATTTCAAATCAATTCTATTGTCTTTCTTTTCAAATTCCATGCGTTTTCTCGTGCTATCAATAAAACAAAAGAATATGTTACTTGGTTATGAGGCTAACACAGAGCAAACCAGAACTCGAAATTGGAGTATTTAATCCACGAATTGTACTTTCGGTGCGGATTTTTGTTTATTTTTCATAGGAGTACTTCAGTGGATATAACGGACAACCTGTGGCACCACGTTTGTCTAACCTATCACTACTGGTTTGGGAATAGAGCACGCATATATCTAGATGGGATAATGCAGAAAGGCACGAGAGATTTCAATACACAGATTCGTGGAAAAGGGAAGCTGATCATTGGTCAAGAGCAAGATAGTTTTGGYGGAGGATTTGATAAGAACCAAAATTTCATTGGTGAACTTACAGGACTGTATATATGGAAAAAAGAACTTGGWAGTCAGGACATAAAGGCTATGAAGGAGAAATGTAGTAAGCCCATATCGGGYGCAATCATTAAATGGAGTGACGTCATTTCCRGTAGTATYCAYGGYGAKGTTRCTTTGATTTCCAATTCTTGCAGASATAAAGACAGTAAGTAAAGTACTGCGAATGATGTGAGAATTKCTTTACTATGACTTGTTTCAATATTTTAAGTAATTTAACTAAGTGATTTGAACGAAAATTCCTAGAAAATATAGACGAATGTGCGTCAAACCCTTGTMAAAATGGCGGAGTTTGTAAAGATGGAGYTGACTCTTACTCTTGTGAATGTAAAGTTGGATTCAGTGGACAAGACTGCAAAGAAAGTAAGTATCTATTGAAAATTTTTTTAGCCTTTCTCTATCTACTTCGATGTTAGCAAAATACTTACCCGTTCATGGTAATTCGCAGACATAGATGAGTGTGCWTCAAACCCTTGTCAAAATGGCGGMGTTTGTAAAGATGGWGTCGGCTCATACTCTTGTGAATGTAAAGAGGGATTCTTTGGACAGGACTGTCAAGACGGTAAGTATCCASTGAAAAYGTCTTGAGCCTTTCTCTATCTACTTCAACGTTAGCAAAATAGTTACCCGTTTATGGCAATTCACAGACACAGACGTGTGTGCATCAAACCCTTGTAAAAATGGCGGAGTTTGTAAATATGGARTCGASTCTTACTCTTGTGGATGTAAAGAGGGATTTGATGGAAAGAACTGCGAAAAAAGTTAGTAATCTCTAAGAATGTTCTTAGCTTCATCTACACTGACTATATTTCAATGTGGACAAACCAGTAACTAGWATAAGTTGTAAATTCACAGAAATTGACCCTTGCTCCAAACAACCTTGTCAAAATGGCGGTGTTTGTAATCTAGCCGATGGAGTCGCCTCATATTCCTGTGAATGTAGAGTTGGTTACAAAGGGAAAAACTGTGAAAACAGTAAGTAAAACGTTCGGGTATTTTTGGATTTTTTTCACTTTGTTTTTTCTTCTGTTGTGTTTTACAGTGCGGCTATCGGAACCGGGGCCACTTAAAACAAGTGGAGCACTAACCAATCATATTGCAGCATTGAGCTGAAGTTGAAATTACCGTGGGAGCGCTGCAATTTGATTGGTCAATGCTGTTATCAATTCTATCATGTCTGGCTTTTKCTGTCATATGATTGGCTCAGACACCTAAATTTGGAATGTTATTGTTTTCATACGTAAACGTGATTGGCTCGCTTTTTTGAGTGGCCCCGGTTCCGATAGCCGCACTGTAATTTTTGACCAAATTGGTGATTTCAGTTGATACAGACGTCGATATCAAGATATCGCGCGCGTCAGTAGAGGATTACGTGTTGGTGAAGAAGAAACTCCCGGSAATGAGCGCAATAACAGTGTGTCTGTGGGTGAAGACTAAAGACGAAAGAGATGCCAGTACTATCTTTAGTTATTCCGTGCCTGGCAATGATAATGAGCTGGTACTAAGTCGCCCTAAGAAACTTCGGGTTTTCATAGCAGGAGAGACTTGGTAAGTACAAAACAGACATTCTCTTAGTTCTCTTTCATTTTTTTACCTCCCATCTTCTCCCCAGGCAGGAAATGTTCACGTATGAACGTCAGTCAAACCAAATACTTCGCTTTACCAAAGCRCTGCTTTATAGACTGTTATAATGTAGATGTAATAGTACGCGCGCTCTGATTGGTTTAACAGCGTGATTTATTTCGCCGGTAAATGTACGCTCACGAGCGAATGACTCGTAAAAAAACTTTCTATAATATAAAAGCATACGCGAGTGATTTTTTAGGCCTTTTTTCGCGTTCTCCCAACATCCCCGCGTTCTTTATTTCACCGATAAACGCACGGCACCCATCCTTTATTGCTTACAGTGCGGCTATAGGAACCGGGGCCGCTTAAAGAAGCGAACCAATCACGTTTACGTATGAGCCAATCATATGACAGCAAAAACCAGACATGATAGAATTGATAACAGCATTGACCAATCGAATTGCAGCGTTCCCACGGTAATTTCAACTTCAGCTGAATGCTGCAATATGATTGGTGAATGCTTCACTTTTTTAAGCGGCCACGGTTCCGAGTGTAATTAAAAAAAATAAGGCTAACATAATCTAAAGAAAAAGAAATTGAGAAAGATTTTTTAAATCCACGAATTCACTGAATTAGACTTTCAGTAAAGATTTTCGTTTCTTTAGGAGTACTTCATTAGATGTAACGGACAATGTGTGGCACCACGTTTGTCTAACCTATGATTTTAATGATAAGATGAACGCAGTCATATATCTAGATGGGGTGTTTGAGGGATTTAGAGATTTCTCAAACACGATTCGTGGAAAAGGAAAGCTGATCATTGGACAAGAGCAAGATAATTTTGGTGGAGGATTTGATAAGAACCAAAATTTCATTGGTGAACTTACAGGACTGTATATATGGAACCGGGCAYTTGACAATCTGGACATAAGGAATATGAAGGACAAATGCGGTAAGCCCATATCGGGCTCAATCATTAAATGGAGTGACGTCATTTCYGGTAGTATCCATGGAGACGTTGCTTTGATTTCCAATTCTTGYAGAGATACAGACAGTAAGTAAAGTACTGCGAATGATGTGAGAATTTCTTTACTCTGACTTTTCTCAATATGTAAGATAATTAATATAAGTGATTTGAACGAAAATTCCTAGAAAATATAGACGAGTGTGCGTCAAAACCTTNAACACTCTTTCGACAAAGTGCAGCATGGAAGTATCAGGTGCGGTGATTGAATGGAGTGACGTCGTTTCCAGTAGCAAGCACGGTGAAGTTGCTTTGATTCGCAATTCCTGCAAGAATTCTGTCAGTAAGTGAATTAGGTTTGGAGTCAGGATGATGATGATGACATCATAGATGATGAGTTTGACTGCGATGGTTGTGGCCATGACGTCGACAGTGACGATTTGATGACTATAGTAGTGACGTCGACGATGATGTCATAATTGTCGATACTTACGGTAGTTTCGTTGACAATGGGAATGACGTCGATGCGATGACGTTGAAGGTAGTTATAACGGTAACTTGGACGTTGATGACGATGATAATCAAAATTGTTGATACAAAGGCGACRTTGGATGTTGTAGTGGTTTCCATGTTGTTGATRCAATGGCGACGTTAGATGTTGTAGYGGTTTCCATAGCGAGTGGTACTCTTTGAACATGKCAAAGATAATAACTAAAACTTGCACTAAAAGTCTCATTGCCCAATCGGCATCGAGATTTTGACCCTGTTCTGTTTTCAGATGAAATTTGTGTCATTTTTGTTCAGTTTAATGGAACAATATAGTGTCCCTTAAAAACGAGATATAGTCTCCYCACAGGACCCGGGGGACGGGAATTAAATAAAACGGCTTCGAGGAGACGACAACTTTGGCCACTCTTTAGAAATATAATTCATGTATGATATTTACTATAATTATTATATTTGATTATATCAGCAAGTTACGATATTGAAATCTCAAGAGCTTCAGCAGAAGACTACATACGTCTCAAGAGTCCCAGCAGAGAAATGCGTGCCATGACATTATGTCTTTGGGCAAAGACAGCTGACAAGAGGAATGCAGCTTCACTCATTAGTTACGCGGTAAAGTCGAAGAGTRGCAGAGTGTCTGATAATGAGATATTGCTAAATAAGCCGAAGTCCCTAAACTTTTGGATAGGAGGCAGAGCATGGTAGGTTCTTTGCATCATACAAGATATCAGTATACGGCTTAATAATTAGACCTYTAGGACGAGTGATAGCCCATGAGGCTGAAGGCCGAATAGTGGGAACTAGCGGTAWTCTAGTGTGAGCTGCGTCGGTGTTTCTAAAGAGACAGTTGTGTTAGAAGATAAATTTAACACCGTRAAAAAAGTATGTGAAATAACGTACTGACGTTTCGGACGTTCATCCTTCTTCGGAGTAAAGAGGCCGAATGAAGGCCGAATGGGCTATGAGTTCGCAGAGCCCACAAAGCCGAGAGGTCTAACTGTTTTAGTATTACT